TACATCCATGGACTTTCTAAGCGGTGGAACTATGTCTGTCGCACAACTCCAGACATAAGCAACAGATGGAAAGTAGGAGTCACCTTTATTCCAGCAGTATTAGACCGAATATTTAATTGCCCTGATATAACACAGAAGATCTTTGCCTTACCCTGCAGAGATGTGGGCCTGAGTATATACGATCTGAGCCAGACAGCTGATCTTAAGTATGAATACTCACTCTTTGCCACAGAGAATCTTACTGATGCAATCTTAAATCAAGTATCAGAACATACAGAGAATCATCAGAAGGCTGTTGAAGTAAAAGCTGAAATTTCGAGAATAACACAGCAGTTCTACAAGCAGAAACGTGAGGAAGTTCTACCAGAGCTTAACCAGATACAGAAGCTTCAGCTTGATCTTGCAACAGAAAAGGGGGCAAGTTGCTGGTTAACATCACTCCCACTGCAGTCTTATGGATACTCATTCAACAAAAAGGAATTTAATGATGCTTTGGCCAAAGATATAATCTAAAAATCAAGGATACTTCAAGAAAGTGTGTCTGTGGAGAAACCAATACTATCAATCATCTCATCTGCAAGTATGCAAGAAAGGTGGTTATGTAAACCTGAGACACAATTCCCTCAGAGATGTCATAGCTGAACTGATGCAGAATGCGGGATGCAGAGATGTATGTGTGGAACCACCGTTGTTGCCAGTCAAGTTACCACCAGGTGCAAACACAGCAGAAGTAGCACGCTTAGATGTTAGTGCTAGAAGTGTTTTGAGCCCGTAAGAGAGCATTTTTTGATATTAGGGTCTTCCATGCCCCTGCACCCTCTAATCAAGCTTTGAACACTATAGCCAACATGTACAAGAGCCATGAGAAATGAAAGAAGACTGCGTTTAACGCCCAAGTGTTGGAGATCAAGAGAGGTACGTTTGCACCAGTGGTTTTATCTACAACTTGTGGTATGGGGACGGAAGCCCAAGTTCTTACAAAAAGACTTGCAGAAAAAATGTCTACAAAATCTGGAATGAGATATTCAGATACCATCACTTTCTAAGGAAGAGGATCTGCTTTGATCTCTTATGAACCACAATCATTGCTCTACGTGGACATCATGGAAAACGAAGAAGTGCTCCAGATGAAATAGAAGCACTGGATATCGATTGATGAGTAGCTCTTTACCAAAATTATGAGTGAATATCCCTCAAAAAGGAGCCAATCACTCATGGTGTATTCAAATCAAGAGTAAAAAAAGTTATTCTCTCATCCCAGGGTAAAGGTGACAAGAATATCTGGGCCCCTTTGGCAAACTTCCTGAACTCAGGCAGCTTGAACGACTAAATTTGAAAAGCAAAACTTCATGTCTGAATGAATTATTAGAACCATATAAAAGTAAAGTGAAGTAAAGTACAAATTATGACATAACATCATCACACATGTCTACAAAGTATCAAATCACTATATGGAAAAATATAAATATCTTACCACCAAAATTAATAAATTATTAACTACAACTTTATTAAAAAATTTCAAATAAGTTCAAAAAGCATCCCCAAAAGATAACCCTATTCATACTTCCCAGTGGAATAAAGATTTATAAATCGCTTTTTTGCCACAAAAGGGTGGAAATAAAGATAATCGTTATGCTTCTCTTTATTACTAACATAGCTAGGTCCTTCAATTCTCCCTAATACTTCATTTGAAACATTCCAAAAATGTGAATCATTAGAAATATCCTTAGCAATCATATCTTTTTAAACCCTTCTAATTTAATCTTAAAACTTAAAACAGTCACCGAGTTCTTAACATCTGGAGGAAGTTTGTTCCAGTAAGGAATAACTCGCTCTGGAAGAAATGAACTTTGGAGATTCCTAATCTTTGCCATACTCTTACAACATCTGTTGGATGATACAAGATTAAGACCAGATCTGCTCACTTTGAACAAATCTGAGCCGTACTCGGTTAAACCATTAATAACCTTAAAAGCTTCAATAAGGTCCCGACGTATTCACCGCTCTGCCAGGGTTGTCAAATTGAGAATTTCCAGTATACGGTTGTAAGGAAGAGTACCCACCTCATTAATAAGACGGGTAAACCGCCTCTGGACGCTCTCCAGCTCCAAAACAATCCCCAAACTTCCATGAGCCGCAACTGGATTCCACAATTGGTCACAATACTCTAAATGAGGTCTTATTAAAGCTTTATAGATGGTTATCATAACTCCTTTTTCCCTTATTACTAAATTTCTTATAATCCAACATATCATACGATTTGCTTTAGAAATGCATGCTTTTATCTGCTCATTCCAAAGCAAGGAGTTATGGGTAATAACCCCCAAGGGTTTTACACCCTGGAGCCAAATCCAACGCTAATCACAACACCCCAGCAAAGATGTACAGCAAGCATGAGAGAGAGAAAGAAAGGAAATATGGAGACCGCTGTGTACAGATTGAAAAAGGAACCTGCAATGGCCTTGTATTCTCGACCACCGGAGGTATGGGCCCACAGGCTACCATGTTCCTTAAACGAGTAGCAACACTTCTGGCAGCCAAGACCAGCCAGGACAAAAGCCTCATTATGGCAAATCTCAGACGTCGTTTGCAGTTTGAGCTACTTAAGACAGTATTGATTGCAGTGAGAGGACACAGAGGACGGTATTATGAGAAAGCAATACCTGTTGACGAACTGGACCTAAATCTTGCACACACCACCAACGATGAAGACAGGGGTGATGATGTTGATGATGAAGATGATGAAGTTGATGATGAGGCTGAGAATGTAGAGGAAGAGGTTTCAGAAGAGTGAGCTGAAAAGAAGACAAGTTTCTATTCTAATTTATTGATTATTATATTTATTGCAATAAACATATAATATTCATTACTCCAGGAGTGATGACAGGATATAGAAAAAAATAACCCCCAGTCTTTTTCCTGAGCAGATGCTTCAAGTTTTACACCATTAACAAAATTTAAGTTAGGATTATTATTAAGATTAACATGAACTACTTTACATTTGGCAGGATTGAACTTTAAAAGCCAAATACTCTCCCAAACTTCCAATTCTGCAATATCATCAGCAACACTCTTATGTTTAGCCGCATTACCAATCAGCTTAAGATCATCAGCAAATAATTTTATTTTATTCTTAACTCAATGAAACAAGAAATTCAATGAAACAAGAAATTTAATTTTAGCACATTTTTACAGAATAAAAAGATGTAAAACAATTCATAAAATATAATGCCCATTTGGTGTATGACTTTTTGTCCTTGACTGCTAGTTTGGTTTTGGAAGGTATATATCAGGTAAATCATTTATATACAGCAAAAATAAGAGAAGATGATTGGACTGAGTTTCCCCGGGTAAAATCGCAAGTCATACACCAAATGGGCATTATATTTTATGAATTGTTTTACATCTTTTTATTCTGTAAAATGTGCTAAAATTAAATTTCTTGTTTCATTGAAATTTCTTGTTTCATTGCAAAAAACTGATTTTTGGGCCAAAAAACCATGTTTTTTGAACTTTTGAGCAAGTTAATTTCGTTGAAGTATCACCAAAATTTGCATAACGATAGCTCGAACATAACCGCACAAAATGATACTAAAATAAAAGAAATCGTTTCATTTTTCCTTGGGTAAAAATCAAAAAAAGTGGTCAAATTTTAGGCTTTTTGCGCGCATTTTATTTTTCGTACTTAGCTGCTGTATTTTGAAATTTTTAAACCATGTATCTTGTAATTACATTTAGTTTAAATATATTAGATACAATTATGAGCAAAAAATTAATTTTAAGTGGAACCAAAATTTAAGGTGCGCCGCGCAAAGTTTAGAAAATTCACATTGAAAATCGAGCGCTTACACAAATACTGTCATATTTTCAAAAGAATACATAATAGTTTTTTGCGTTATTGTTGCATTTCGTAACCCCTTTGCACTCTCTTTGGTTACTTTTCTGACGTTTAATTTTATTACTTGTTGTTTTTATGTATTCTCATTGATGTGGAGTACCCATTCATACTTTTTCACATCGTTTTATCATATACTTTTTCCTTTAAGGTCTGCTCCTTTTGTGACATTTTATTACAAAATAAAATTATTTGCTGATGATCTTAAGCTGATTGGTAATGCGGCTAAACATAAGAGTGTTGCTGATGATATTGCAGAATTGGAAGTTTGGGAGAGTATTTGGCTTTTAAAGTTCAATCCTGCCAAATGTAAAGTAGTTCATGTTAATCTTAATAATAATCCTAACTTAAATTTTGTTAATGGTGTTATGTCATAATTTGTACTTTACTTCACTTTACTTTTATATGGTTCTAATAATTCATTCAGACATGAAGTTTTGCTTTTCAAATTTAGTCGTTCAAGCTGCCTGAGTTCAGGAAGTTTGCCAAAGGGGCCCAGATATTCTTGTCACCTTTACCCTGGGATGAGAGAATAACTTTTTTTACTCTTGATTTGAATACACCATGAGTGATTGGCTCCTTTTTGAGGGATATTCACTCATAATTTTGGTAAAGAGCTACTAATCAATCGATATCCAGTGCTTCTATTTCATCTGGAGCACTTCTTCGTTTTCCATGATGTCCACGTAGAGCAATGATTGTGGTTCATAAGAGATCAAAGCAGATCCTCTTCCTTAGAAAGTGATGGTATCTGAATATCTCATTCCAGAATTTTGTAGACATTTTTTCTGCAAGTCTTTTTGTAAGAACTTGGGCTTCCGTCCCCATACCACAAGTTGTAGATAAAACCACTGGTGCAAACGTACCTCTCTTGATCTCCAACACTTGGGCGTTAAACGCAGTCTTCTTTCATTTCTCATGGCTCTTGTACATGTTCTGTAAATGCGCAGGGCACCTTCAAGCTTAAATTATTCACCATACTGAGGCAGTCAACCAACGCGCGGCTTTATTTTTATGATATGATATGTTTTGATTGTTATTAATAAATACCAAAATTTAAATTTGTTTTACTAAAAAATTTGTTTTACTGTTTTAATACTTTCAACACTACTATATAACAAATAATTTGAGGTATGTGACATGTACAAGTAGTGGAGAAGTAGTGGAATCGTAGACAAGCTATAACGTAGACTCTGACCAGACAAGGCCTCCAGACCAGTCACTGAAGACCTTTCTTCACTTCTCATCTATATCTTTAAAGGGAGTCCGACCCACAAGTCGGAACCTCTCCGGTGGGTTATATCTTTCTCAATTTTGTTTCGACATCTCTGGATTGACGTACACCTTGGAAAACGTTTTGAATGGCTACTTCTAATTCTAAATCCCTGATTCTATCTGAATTAACTTCTCCTCAGCTTGATAGGGTTTTGTACAAATTCCAGCTGATTGCTCCGGATGGGTATGACGAGGATGGAAAACGTGAACAGCAGCAAAGTCTTCATACGAGGAATTGGGGACCAGGCTAATGAGAACATTTTGGCTATATTCAGTAACAAAGGTACATTTGTCGATTTTGAGTCAGTTGATGGAAAGGTAAAAGGAATTTTTGCTAAATCAGAATCTGGTAAGGTGATGTATCCATGTTCTGTTTGCTGTAAAGAGGTTACAGATAGGTCAGATACATCAGGTCTTGGTATTGAATGTAGTGGATGTGGGTGGTATTTTCACACTAGCTGCACATACAAGCCTGTTAGTCTTGACCTTTTTAAAGCTCTTAAGGACTCTCCAAGCTACATCAAGGTGCTGTGCCCCCCATGCAACTCCGTGTATGGTAGTGCTCTCTCCAAGCTGAAGCGTGTGGAGCATAAATTGGATGCTATGGCTGTGAAGGTTAACAGTGTAGAAACTAAGGTAAAACAGGCGGCCACTAAAGTACCCTACAGTGCTGCTGTTTCAAATGGTATCTCCAAAAACAGTCCTATCCCACAAAAGGTCATGGAGGGTTTGAAATCTATATCAAAAGCTAAACAGGAGTCTGATGATGTTGAGCGACTCAAACGTACCAGAGTTGTTATCCGACCAGAAGATACTAACATAAGGACTAGTCGTGATATACGTAAGGCTTTCAATCAGCATTACAAAGGCATGGTGATCAAACATTGTAGGCTAACGGCATCAGGATCCATCACATTTGAGTTTGAAGATGAAAACACAGCAAACAATGTGCAGTCTAACTGGGAAACAAGTCATTTTGGTGGTAATAAAGGTATGAAAATACCAGGAGACTATAACACTGTGGCCATGGTTAAGCATGTGTATGATGATCACAACGAGGATGACATGAAAAATGAGATTATGCAAAACTACTCTGGTATTGTCACAAAATGCGAATTTCAACGGAAAAGGTCTGATAAATCATTCAATGGAATGATCAAACTTGAATTTTCGTCTCGAGAAGAAATGATGAAGGTAGTCAAAGATAAGATACAGTTTTGTCATCAGCGCTATATTGTTGAAGAGTACAAAAGAAGGTCCAGGGTTATCAAGTGCAACAAGTGCCAAGGTTGGGGACATATTCACCGGTATTGCACCAAGCCAGCTAAGTGTGGAAAATGTGCAGAAAATCATGAAAGCAATAGCTGTTCAATAACCAGTGGGTTCAAGTGTGCACATTGCAACAAAGATCACCAAGCAGGATCATTTGATTGTGCAGTGTACAAAGAGAAATTGGTTAAATTCTCTCATGATGCATTATGATCGATTATAACACTTCAAGTAGAAATGCCCAAAATAGCACAGTGTTTGGTAAATTATGCACAATCAACATCTGCGGACTATCCCAAAGAAGCAACATGATGCTAAGCAAGTATGCGTTTGACAACGACATCCTTCTATTTGGTGTGCAGGAGACAGGTGCTGGAAGCCAATGGAAATCATTAACAAACATGAAAACTTTTGAAGATACAAATAATAATAGCAACAAAGGCTGTGCAATCATGGTTAGACAAGAGATCATGTTCACACAGCTTCCTGTTATCTCAAACATTTCATCAAATATTGACTCAGTTTGGGGAATGTTATCTTGGAACGGCAAAAGATACATAATTGGCAACCTCTATTTGAAACTGGACTACTTATCAGGTGTGAAAGAGATGTTGGTTATGCTTGATAAGGCTCATGAAATGAGCAAGCTTCACAAGTGTACAGGTGTGATTGCTATGGGGGATTTTAATGCTCGCCACTTTATCTGGAATGATACTGTGGTAAATAAGTATGGAAAATATATTGAAGAACATCTAGACTGGTCCAAGTTCTGTGTCCATGCACCTTCGTCAAGCACGTTCTTGGCAAGGAATGGGAGCAGCCATATTGACTTTTTCATCACATCCACACAGCTCGATAAGTATATAGATCATCCAATTGCAGATCACTTTGCTAACTTGTATAGTGGGGCTCCTTTGAGAGGTCACGTTCCAGTATCAATCAATGTTCAATCACAACCTGTGGCAATCAGGTCAGAGAATGTTCAGAAGTATAACCTTCAGTCAATGGACTGGTTTAACTGGACTAGAGACATCGAGATTGACTTGACACTCGAAAAAACCGATAGCTTAGCAACTGATGGGACTATCAAGGAATGGCTGGAAGTTATTAACACAGCTATTGATGTTTCTACAAAAGAAAACTGCCAAATGAAATGTGTCTCCAAACACAGTAAACCTTACTGGACCCCCAAGCTATCTGTGCTTTCTGGGAAACTAAGATTCGACCTCAAATCGTATTTAACCAGAAATACGGACACTGCATTTGAAGCAATGCAGACCTCAAAGAAGGAATTTGAAGAAGCAAGAAAGCAGGCATGTCAGCAGTTTATCCTTCGAAAGACAAATGACCTGAACACCTCTCAGGCAAAAAAGTTCTGGAAAGAGTTCAATAAGCTCTTCAAACCCCCATCTGATCAAATGGTTGAAGCTCTTATCTCAGAGGATGGAACTATCCTCACAGAAAATGCTGACATAGAGAAGGAAATGTTTGGAACGTTTTTTCAGGCTAAACACATAGTTCATAATATCGATCAATTTGATGATGTTTTCTATCAGGAAATGAACAACCTGTATGACGACATCAAAAACAGCAATTTCCAGCCCAGTGAGGATATGGCAGATAGATTTACAAGCAGCTCCGCCCTTTACTGCCCGGTTACACCATGGGAGATCACTGCTACTCTGAAAGGTATTCACTCTACAGCCGCTAGTTTTGATAATCATGAAGTACATCAGTCTATGCTAAAGAAACTAGGTCCAAATGCAATTCATGCACTAAGCAGGCTCTTCACACTCTGCTTGCGCAATGGACTTTGGTTGTGGAACGACTCTAAGATCGTGTTCCTCAAAAAAGATGGAAAGTCCTCATATTCCAAAGCAGGTGCATACAGGCCAATTTCAATCTCCTCGTATGTAGGCAAACTGCTTGAACGAATCTTGGCACAACGACTTGAGGTATATCTAAAGAAAGTGGGAATTATTGATGTAAATCAGGAAGGTTTCTCCAAAGGCAAAAACACTATCAGATACCTCAATAGGCTGACTGCGGGTATTAAAGGTGATATTATGAAGAAGCTTACGGTACTTTGTTTGTTCATTGACTTCGAAAAAGCTTTTGATTCAGTGTGGAAAAAAGGTCTAATTGTTAAGCTCTGGAGAGCTGGTGTTCATGGCTGCTATCTTAAAACTATAGACAGCTTTCTGTTTAGTCGTACAGTTTGCCTTCTAATAAATGGATTTCTCGGCCCAGTTAGAGACTGCCTGGACTATGGGTTACCACAAGGATCTGTGCTGTCCCCTATTTTGTTCAAATTCTTCATTATGGATATCGAGGCTGTCTGTTCAGTGTACCAACAGATTAGTGTCTTGAAGTTTGCTGATGATGGGACAGTTAAAGTGGTTGGCAGGGACTTAGAGGAGTGTCTTTTCTATCTCAACCTGGCTATGGACAGCATTGAATATTGGACATCTTGTTGGCGCCTGGTTATAAACTGTGATGCAAATAAGACTGAGATTATATGCTTCAACTCATATGATCAAGCCGGAATCCCAACCTCATTCAACCTAGGAGGGAAACTAATTCATCTAACAGATCAAACGAAAGTTCTGGGTGTCATACTAGACAGTAAGTTGACCTTCAAACAGCACAGCAAGCATGTCTACAATAATCTAGTCTACCGCTGGGTTTGTATGAGTCGTTATGCAAACAGAAACTGGGGCATGAACCAAGCAGTGCTAGTTAGAGTTGCCAAAACCATTCTCTTCTCAACACTGTTCTATGGATCTATTATATGGATGAAAAATTCAAATATGACAGACATAAACAAACTGTGGTACAGAGTGTCTAAAGCTGCAGTCGGGGCTGTTTTCAATGTACACGGGGCCATTCTTGAAGTCATTCTGGGTGTACCACCACTCCAAACAATGGGGAGAGTAATTTCGATCAAACATTACCTTAAGGTTCTCCATGACTCAGACGACATTCATTTTGACTTCGTGAGAACTCAACTAGATGAAATGAACCCAACAGTACTCTTCCATCTCCGAGACGTGCAGAAATTCTTAATATGGAAAGTAGAACATTTCAGCACTGAAGGTCAGACCTGTGACTTAACCCAGAGAAATCTAGAACAAGTTCTGTTACTACCCAAAAAGATTTATAAGTACACTAAAGGAATGATGCAGCAATTCACAGAGCTTCTTTGGCAAGAGAGCTTACAAAACCTACTACTGACGGAAGGATGGTCTGAAATTCCAAGAGTCTCCTGCAACCCCCTTCCTATCCCCTTTGGAGTGAGCCGCGAAGTGGAAGTATTAGTTATGAGTCTCATGTACAAGAACAATCTACTGAACTCGTTTCTCTTCCGAGTTGACAGAGCAGTGGCCTCTCCGCTATGCATCTGTGGCTCGGATGAGCAAACAGCACTGCACCTACTATCAAGTTGTGAGCTTGTGGACGCGAATCTACAATGTCAAGCTGAACGAATCATCACCCTGTGTAACAGCGGTAGGTCCATGGTCGATCTAGCAGCTGAGCAGGGCTCCATCATACTGAACTGTTCAAGGGACGAAATGTTTAGGGATGGCAGGGACTTAGAGGAGTGTCTTTTCTATCTCAACCTGGCTATGGACAGCATTGAATATTGGACATCTTGTTGGCGCCTGGTTATAAACTGTGATGCAAATAAGACTGAGATTATATGCTTCAACTCATATGATCAAGCCGGAATCCCAACCTCATTCAACCTAGGAGGGAAACTAATTCATCTAACAGATCAAACGAAAGTTCTGGGTGTCATACTAGACAGTAAGTTGACCTTCAAACAGCACAGCAAGCATGTCTACAATAATCTAGTCTACCGCTGGGTTTGTATGAGTCGTTATGCAAACAGAAACTGGGGCATGAACCAAGCAGTGCTAGTTAGAGTTGCCAAAACCATTCTCTTCTCAACACTGTTCTATGGATCTATTATATGGATGAAAAATTCAAATATGACAGACATAAACAAACTGTGGTACAGAGTGTCTAAAGCTGCAGTCGGGGCTGTTTTCAATGTACACGGGGCCATTCTTGAAGTCATTCTGGGTGTACCACCACTCCAAACAATGGGGAGAGTAATTTCGATCAAACATTACCTTAAGGTTCTCCATGACTCAGACGACATTCATTTTGACTTCGTGAGAACTCAACTAGATGAAATGAACCCAACAGTACTCTTCCATCTCCGAGACGTGCAGAAATTCTTAATATGGAAAGTAGAACATTTCAGCACTGAAGGTCAGACCTGTGACTTAACCCAGAGAAATCTAGAACAAGTTCTGTTACTACCCAAAAAGATTTATAAGTACACTAAAGGAATGATGCAGCAATTCACAGAGCTTCTTTGGCAAGAGAGCTTACAAAACCTACTACTGACGGAAGGATGGTCTGAAATTCCAAGAGTCTCCTGCAACCCCCTTCCTATCCCCTTTGGAGTGAGCCGCGAAGTGGAAGTATTAGTTATGAGTCTCATGTACAAGAACAATCTACTGAACTCGTTTCTCTTCCGAGTTGACAGAGCAGTGGCCTCTCCGCTATGCATCTGTGGCTCGGATGAGCAAACAGCACTGCACCTACTATCAAGTTGTGAGCTTGTGGACGCGAATCTACAATGTCAAGCTGAACGAATCATCACCCTGTGTAACAGCGGTAGGTCCATGGTCGATCTAGCAGCTGAGCAGGGCTCCATCATACTGAACTGTTCAAGGGACGAAATGTTTATAAGTGTGTGTGTTGAAATTGTAGAAAGCGAGGGGCTACATCTTAAGCGAAAGATTAATCTTTCGAAAAGATAAGGGTTTATTATAGCATCTAATTTTGCTAATTTTGCTACTACTATGATAAAGAATGAAATACCAAGTATATTGAAGTGTAGTAAAGTGTTATTGGACTTTGCTTATTTGAAAACAAACACCTTTAAATTAAATATTGTTTTAATAACAGGGGAATGAGTTTTTCTATTTGAGCTGTTTAGTTCAAAGAAAAGCAGATATATGGACTGCTTTAAAACTTTTATTTTGGAAAAAGTTTGTTTCAGTAACCATTGAGAACCAGTGGCCTTTTGTAACTGCATCTTTAACCTCAGTTTCACTTTGAAACGTCAAGTGACTGGTAAAGTCAAATATTCTGTTCTATGAACATTTATTCTAGTATTTTGAAGTGTAGAAATTGTTAAGATCTTTAATTTTGTACTAAATTACTGATGTTTTATAACGTTTTAACGGGGTGTAATTTTGTTAGGTAGGTATTTAAAATTATTAGTCTTTTGGAAATTGAAGTTTTGATCTTTACTATTTATTGTTAATAGAATGCTCATTGTAGCCAGTTATTTTAAGATTTTCATCATCATCATGTACATGTTGGCTATAGTGTTCAAAGCTTGATTAGAGGGTGCAGGGGCATGGAAGACCCTAATATCAAAAAATGCTCTCTTACGGGCTCAAAACACTTCTAGCACTAACATCTAAGCGTGCTACTTCTGCTGTGTTTGCACCTGGTGGTAACTTGACTGGCAACAACGGTGGTTCCACACATACATCTCTGCATCCCGCATTCTGCATCAGTTCAGCTATGACATCTCTGAGGGAATTGTGTCTCAGGTTTACATAACCACCTTTCTTGCATACTTGCAGATGAGATGATTGATAGTATTGGTTTCTCCACAGACACACTTTCTTGAAGTATCCTTGATTTTTAGATTATATCTTTGGCCAAAGCATCATTAAATTCCTTTTTGTTGAATGAGTATCCATAAGACTGCAGTGGGAGTGATGTTAACCAGCAACTTGCCCCCTTTTCTGTTGCAAGATCAAGCTGAAGCTTCTGTATCTGGTTAAGCTCTGGTAGAACTTCCTCACGTTTCTGCTTGTAGAACTGCTGTCTTCTTCTCGAAATTTCAGCTTTTACTTCAACAGCCTTTTGATGATTCTCTGTATGTTCTGATACTTGATTTAAGATTGCATCAGTAAGATTCTCTGTGGCAAAGAGTGAGTATTCATACTTAAGATCAGCTGTCTGGCTCAGATCGTATATACTCAGGCCCACATCTCTGCAGGGTAAGGCAAAGATCTTCTGTGTTATATCAGGGCAATTAAATATTCGGTCTAATACTGCTGGAATAAAGGTGACTCCTACTTTCCATCTGTTGCTTATGTCTGGAGTTGTGCGACAGACATAGTTCCACCGCTTAGAAAGTCCATGGATGTACCTAGCATATGCTAGTTGAGGCTCCCTCTTAGCAATGTTGGAGATGTCGTCATCTTTTCCTATGGCTATACCCGTTGATGACACATTTTGGACTAGTGGCATGAGAGAGCAGGAATACTTGGCCATTGCACTATTGTCCCTGCACTATAATTGTCCCCTTGTGTAACACCCTCTTCACTTAAGATCTCCTCATCTGTCCTTGCTATTACCAGTCTTGCAGGTTTTCGATATATGTTTATGATGTATGGAGCTAGCTCAGGGCAGGTGTACTGAATATTATGAAGGGCACCCGTTAAGAGATCATGAATCTTGTAGAGGCTCCTTCACTCTTCAGGTCACTTCAAGTTCATGTAAACTTTATATTTATTTATTTATGATATAAGTGAAGCTGTAAACCATTTGAAATTGAAATTGCAATATCAGATGTATCAAGTTTTGACGATGTGGCAGAGCCAGAAAATATATTAATATAAATGTACAGTTTTTTTCTTAAACTTAGAACTTCGCTTTACTAACCGAGTCAAGAATCTTCAAGTTGTTAAAAATGGGCTTTGTATGCTCTTTTACCACCACAACCACCACCACCACCACAAACTGGTACAATAATGATTGATTTTGAGAAAGCGGTCATGAATGCGATTCAGAACAGTTTGCCAGGGTGGGAGATTAGCAATTGCTACTTCCATCTCTGTCAAGCTGTTCAGAGGAACATTTCGAAGAAGTTTAAAGTTTTATATTATTCTGATAAGAAGTTTGCTAGAGCCGCAAGGCTGGTTGTGTTTCTCGCCTTTGTCCCAGTTGCTGTATCTCCAGAGGTTCCTAGTTGTCGGGGATATGTCATGATTGGTTCCTAGTTGTCGGAGTTGATTGGATTTCCCAAGCTTGCATGTTTACTAACCGAGTCAAGAATCTTCAAGTTGTTAAAAATGGGCTTTGTATGCTCTTTTACCACCACAACCACCACCACCACCACCAAGATTAGCCGTGAGCCCCAAACGGTAGATCGGCCTCCACGTGGCTTGGGGTGGGTGGTTTTTTAATGAATGAACTATAGGGTCCCAAAAAGCATAGACAGTCTAACCTAATCGTGATATCGTGATATGGTTTATCTAATGAACTCCTAAATTAGATCCAGTGTTAGCTGAATCTATAAATCCAGTGTTAGCTGAATCTATAAATTTTTTGGGACGCTATATTTCTATGTTTAAATACTAGCGAACGATGCCATATAATACAGTCAAACCTCAATTCACCGTGGTTTTGAGTAAATGAATAAAAGTGCCAAATTGGGGATTCTGTTAAATTGGGGCCTGGTCAATGGAGGTTTGATTGTATATTATACTATAATACCAACGTTATAGAACTGTACTGAACCGAATCGGTTTATGACCTTATTAATTATTTTATAATTTCTTAAATAGTGTAGTGTAGTGTAGTGTAGTGTAGTGTAGTGTAGTGTAGTGTAGTGTAGTGTAGTGTAGTGTAGTGTAGTGTAGTGTAGTGTAGTGTAGTGTAGTGTAGTGTAGTGTAGTGTAGTGTAGTGTAGTGTAGTGTAGTGTAGTGTAGTGTAGTGTAGTGTAGTGTAGTGTAGTGTAGTGTAGTGTAGTGTAGTGTAGTGTAGTGTAGTGTAGTGTAGTGTGATACAATGTTGGACAACAAGATAGCGTGTAATATCGAAGCTTATATATGTTCCTAGATGCCAAGCCGATATGGCCGATATAGGTACTCTTTGGGATATTCTATACATTAAATCCTTGATATACCGTGCTTGACAGGGGAAACGATAAATGTACTATTTACTTAAGTTTGCCTATGAACACGGCACACTGCACTGCATGATGAGATCATGAAAGTGGTATATCGAGGTACATATATTGTATGGCATATTCAATTGTTATATAATATATTGCTATATCCATGAATCAATTCAACCATATTGACAATTGTTAACAGTTGCAAAAGATAACCAATTACTTATAACTTAGCATGAGCGGAGAATGACTATAACCGGAAGAATACCACGTGGTGGGATCAGGGATGAACGACCACAACAATAACGAATAACACAGCTTATATGATCAGTCCAATATAATAACAGCAAATTTGGCCGATTTTTGAGTATTTGAGCCGTAGAATATATGGCAGATTTTTGTTTATTAACATTGCATTATCTTCTTTGCCGTGTTAATAAAGGTTTGGTTATAATCTTTTAACTTCAGGTGGAAAATAACAGTTGCATTAAATGTAAATTAGTTGTATAAAAGTATAAATTGAACAATCGCTGTTAATAAGTGGCATGGTTAGTGTTTGAGATTCAGCTTAGTTCGAGGAATGAAATTACAGTAATAGTGCACATAATATATATCATAGAGAGGACTTTAACGGTTATATTATGGCTTTAATATTATCTTTTTTCACAGGAGTGTGGCATCCATTTAAGCCAGGAGGAAAAAGACTTGGTGACCGCACATTCGGAGCTTGAAAATACCAGCATTGGTCTTACGTTTCAATCCGAGATTGTTGAGGCATCATTGATCCAGTATTACAAAGAGGTAACCGTGCGATAACCGTGTAATCCACATTTATCGGATTTCTCTTAATTTCTTGACATATATTTTCGAGTTGTTAATTGTTGATTGTTGCATCTGTGGGCCAGGTCAATTATAAAAAATATAGTTTCAATATAATTACGTATGGTTAATGTTTTCAGGATCTTGAGATAGCAGATTTAAGACGCCATTATACCCTGGTGCGAACCGACGTCAGAAGTCGAAGACAGTAGTAGCACTTTGCAAACAGTGTTTTTTAAAAAGATTTCGAGAAGCCAGTTTTGTAATAATCAGCAAGCGGCTGTGGAACTATTTGACTATTTTAAGTATTCATTTTAATTTAAGTAATTTAAATGGTACTCTACGTTCAAATCACCGATCTAAATTGTGATTTGGTTATCTTTAACCTTTGAGTGTGTTATTAAATCTACTATTAATTAATTTAAAATTGGTACTCCTAAAAAATCAATCCACTTTTAATATATAACGCAAACTAAATTCCTTTTAGCAGGGTTGGATTTTGAAATATATGTGTAATGTTCATGGAGGGCCAAGCGTGAGTTAGATACATAATTGGTACAATTATGGAGCATCGCGGCTCTAGGCAGCTCTGTTAAAACTAGATCAAAACCGACATTACGGCACGTATTGGCCTTACACAGAGGTATAATGAGACCTGAAGTGAGGTCAATACGTGCCGTAATGTCGGTTTTGATCTAAATTTAATCCAAATTCGTATCGTTTCACTTATCCTTTCAAAGTTTCAACAGAGTTGCCTAGAGCCGTGTTGCTCCCAAATCGTACCAATTATGTTATTTTTGACATATAGTCTGCAGCGCACCCAAAATGCACGGAGAAGTGTGTTTGTTTTGATATTCTGTTAAATACTATTTGGACACGTTCATTTGAGTTTGAGGATATTGGTAAATATAAGTGACCCTATTAAATGGCACAGTGTAGTTGAAATTGTCACACTATGAAATTACATAAACCCTTGATGGTTAGGATAATCGTATCATCCTCTAGGCTAACTTTGTCACATAACGATATCTTAATCAGGTGATAAGATATCGCTTAAATAAGGCCGGCACGGAAATGGTTACATTGTCACACTATAAACATGTGACGGAGTAAATATGGACCCCTTGCTGCCGTTTTTGACCAAATTTTTGAGTGTCCAGTTGATTGGATGGGTACATATGACCATTACCTACATATTTGACGACTTTTTTCGTTAGATGGTGCACTCAGGTTTACTCTGTCACACATTAAAGAAAATATGTGATGAATGTTTAGGGCACCCTGATAAGCAATGCTGAGTAGTGTAGGTTTATTTGATGGCATGAAAGTGCTGGGGAATTGTTATTAATTTAATGTGTAAGGAACATTCGTGTGTTAATACTGTGTTACTTTCGTGTGTTAATACTGAGTTACATTCGTGTGTTAAACTGAGTTACTTTCGTGTGTTAATACTGAGTTACTTTCGTGTGTTAATACGAGTTTACATTTCGGTGTGTTTAATACTGCTGAGTTACTTCGTGTGTTAATTACGGAGTTACTCGTGAGTTATTACTGAGTTACTTTCGTGTGTTAATACTGATTACTATGTTACTTTTTGGAGTTACTAAGTTACTTCGTGGATTACTTTAATACTTTCGTGAGTTACTAAGTTACTTTTGTGAGTTACTAAAGTTACTTTTGTGATTCTAATTACTTTTGTGAGTTACTCAAGTTACTTTAGTGAGTTACCTAAGTTACTTTTTGTGAGTTACTAAGTTACTTTCGTGAGTTACTAAGTTACTTTCGAGAGTTACTAAGTTCCTTTCGTGAGTTACTAAGTTACATTTTCGGTGGGCTACTCTAAGTTACTAATATGATAATATTTTTTATGAAGCATACAGTAAACTCGTTTTACCTAGGTACGTTAACAATCGAGAGAAAGCACAGACAGAGAAGTTGGTACCCCACGTGTTTTGAAGTCCCTCCTTGAACAAGGTGGAAAAGGGACCGGGTATCACTATTGCGGGAGGAAAGGGAAAAAAACCAACACATTCCTGATAGTGACGGTATGTTGGTATTATCATATACCCTAATACCTAAAACTCTCAATAGTAAAAGATTAAAAACTCCGAATGACTCCCGATGTGACGATTAAGACAAAGTTTGAGAAGTTCTTGATATAGATAAGCTATTTGACTCCTGATACAATGATACAATGAGAACGAGTAAACAGGGGGGGGGGTCCAAGGGGAACTTTGGGGAACTTGGGATAGTCCCCCAAGATTTTCTGAAGTTCCCCAAAAAAATGTTCCCCAAAATCCCCAAAGTTTCCCCAAAATTCCCAAAAATAATTTAAAATTATTCAAAATTATTCAAAATTATTCAAAATTTCTCTAATATACATAATACCCATTAATGTTAACATGTAGATGTTAATTATAAGGTATATCTTAACTTACTTAGTTGATACATTGCAGCATGATAATTTGTTTGGCATTATAATTTTTTGTGGGAACTTTGGGGAATTAGGGGAACTTTCTGAAGTTCTCCAAAAAAAATTCCCCCAAAATTCCCCCAAAATTATTTGTTTCATTGATAATTTTTTGTGGACTTGGGAAGTCCCCCAGGTTTCCATGAAGTTCCCCAAAAAAAGATGCCCCCAAACTCCCCAAAGTTCCCCTTGGGACCCCCCCCCCCCCCCCCCCTATAACAATTATAACAATTAAATGCAGGTATTTACATAACTAAGATAATTAGTGTGGAGCCTGCTGATAAAAGACGGAACTCTTTTCAAGTCGGTTGATATAATATTATTATGGATCTACTTTTAGTAATATTATTTTTTATTAATTGTACAGAGCAACACCTTACATACTACATATAAATACTAATTAAAATTAGCTAATATAAAGATGTTATTATATTCATTCCAATCATTGTTACCCAATTATAATAACCATCGTCATATTTTGTGCATCACAAGGCATTAATTGCTCTGGAAAACATTGTTTTCAGACTTGAAATAATGAAACATTCGTTTAATGTATATATAAATACATTAAACGAATTTCCTTTAGTTTTATAAACAAACCCTAATTTTATTTTCAGTAAATAACGTAAATATAGAGGAAGTAACGCACGAGACGGCAGTTTAGGCACTCAAAGGAGCGAGATAACGTGATTCTTGTTATAGCGCAGAACAAAGCCTGAAGTGTACCCGGAAAGTGCAGTTATTTTAGACTTATTACAGCTATTTAGTTAAGTATTTAAATACTTGATTCAGGAATCTAAACCTAATTTAATTTTAAATTTGTTGTTGTTTAACAACAAATGTTAATACCTGTCCATGCTAAGGGAGCCCTGGATGTTTCGATCAAGTTATTAATAGCTTGTCTGAAAGAGCCGTTTGTTTTGTCCCTTCCCCCGCCACACACTGGCCCTCCCCCGGCCACACCCGCCCTCCCCCGGCCACACCCGGCCATCACCCGGCCACACACTGGCCCCCCCCGCCCCCGGCCACACCGGCCCCCTTTCTAATCCCCCCTCCATTAGATAGTTCAGAATGTCTGAATATTCAATCTAATTAAACCATCCTGTATAATGGCTGGTTTGTTTCCATCGAAATTCAAAGTGTATCTTAATAAATAATATGCATATCTAGTTTCAAACTGCGTACAGTACTGATTAAATAAATACTTCCTCTCTCGTGAAAATACAAAGTTACATTATCTTCATACAGAATCAACACGAAAACAGTTGCCAAAAGTTCCCGTCCTCAAAGTTTTTCAATTTTCAGAGCCATTTACTGTTACGGTACCTATAATTTACTATGTAACCGTATATTGTATAATAAACAATTGTACTGCAGAAAGAATATATAAATGTACTAGGAGTACGCTGGCTGCATACATTTTAAAGATTAGGTTTCAGAACGCTAATTCTAAGAAAGAAAAACCCCGCTCAACCATTATCAGTTTAATCCTTTTCGTTTAATTTTGAGTTTCTACTCACTTACTTTCCTTACTTACTACTTACTTACTTACTTACTTACTTACTTACTTACTTACTAGTTACTTACAGGGTTTATATCGTTAAGGAGTCAAGTGACGTTTAACAATAAACATGTAAAAATAAACACGCCCTCTATGAAATTTAAACTTCCTAGCACTCACTCTTGGCCTCTGCCAAGATAATTATGACTAAATTTCTATCTCCCTCTCGTAATTCAGTAAAACCCATTCTCGCGGAGATTTACGTCCGTTTAAATAAGTAAGATTTTTCTTTGTATCCCCGAACGGTCCAGGCTGTGTGTGTTGTTGGGTTAGTTTGCTATAAATTCTAGGATGTCCATCAGTGGGCAGATTGGCCCCTAATTATGTTTAACTAATAATATAACGTAATTACCTTTTTGTTTTTAAAACACCAAAAACAAAGAAAGGTGCAGGTATAGAATAGACTTCCTATTAATTTACAGAGTTGAGTAAGTTAATACTTAATGTCAAGCTCGAGCCTTACTTTATCGTTACAATAAATACTTAATTAATAATTACATAAATGTGTACTAACAGTCTCAACTACTCAGACCTACTTCTAATTTATCTACGTCACGCACTTACATCATGTCTTACATAGAGACTAGTCTATAGCTGTAGTACAGTAGCTTCCTGTTGCCTGTTGTATTACAGATTATCCTCTCCACAGCCAGATTACCATGTCACTGTATTACTGCTCGGCTCTCTCTGCTGTTTTTATACACATATTTTGGATTAGTAATCTCTTTGAAAGTCAATAGTCTGTATAAATAGTCTATAATAGTCTATAAATAAGTATCTGGGATAGTTTGTGTTACGTTTAGTAGTGATCGTAAATAGTAATGCGGAGCTCTCCTGACTCTGATACTCGTACTCTGTTACTCTGTACTCCCTGTACTCTGTACTCTGTACTCGTACTCTGTACTCTGTACTCTGTACTCTGTACTCTGTACTCTGTACTCTGTTCTTTGTACTCTGTACTCTGTACACGCTATTTTGTACATCTTATTCTTTACTCGTTATTCTGTGCAGCTAACGAGTAATACAAGTGATATAATAGTAAAAGTGTAAATTATATATCATCAGTATTCATCATAATACATAGCCAATAGTTATGTCATCATATTTTGTATAACTAGTTTTACCTGCATAAATAACTGTTGCTTTTAGCCGATAGCAAGCTCAGCGGTCCACACTCGTCTTTACTCGACCATCAGAAATCATTGCTTTAATAATAATCATCTCATATATTCTGTATTCTGTACACATATTATATATATAATGATATTTTATGCACATTTAATCATACTGTCGGGAACTCAACAGTCTATCCATCGCTACGATAAATATTGTTAAATCCACTATAATAACTTCGTCTGGTATTTTCGAGCTGAGTCTTCTTATGTCGTTACTCGAATGATAAATAATTGTTAATTTTATCTGTATGATTCCATTCACTTTGATATTAGAGCTTGTCGATACAAATTAAAACAAGGCCTTCATTTTATGAAGGCAGAGGGCAGGGTTTGGATATAATAAGCTTTTACCCTTTTAAAACGTTTCCAATTTCCATCACGTTCACATAATCTCAATAAATGTAAAAGATTTGTAGTGCTGAAATTAATTTAAAACTACAAATATGTTTGATCTGTACAGTTTTTATCTTTACATCTTAATTTTGTATAGTTCGCCATTAGTTATGCAGTAATTCCGTCCTCTGTCCCTGTATTCCAGTCTCTCCTCATTAATTGAACATTAATTAAGTGAATTAACGCAGGGATGTATAACGTTGAGATAACAGGATTATGTAA